AACCCGTAATGAATGGCTGGTAGAAACGAACTCCCACAGGAAGTATCGAAGTGGCATTAACTACACAAATTGATCCAAATTTCTGCCCCGTTTCTAATCCTCAATATATTGGTGTGTTGGGTACAGCATCTAACTAACCAAAAATACCCACCCGACCTATCCAAGATGGGAGATGACGGCTTCATCTTATCGCCGTCGTTCTTGCTCTAAAAAGGTGATTAAAAACTATCAAGTTGAATCAGTAAAATATTATTGAACTTACAATTACTGGCTTCGGGAAGATATTAACGCTCGAAATCTTGTTTCGGCTTTCGATCTTGGGAGCCTGCCTGCAAGAAATGCTAGACTTATTGAATGCGTCCATTACGTAACTATCGACGACATTCGCCAGTATATTACAAAGGACACCCACAAAACATTATTGCTTTTTTCGGGAGTGGATTCAGCATCTTTAGTGACCTGGTCCGCAGAATTGAAAACTTCTTCATTGCGATTCCTTGCGGCATCCACTAAAAAAGAAATTGTATTGCTTACTTAATGGAGGCACACTTGGCTACTTCTGCTTTCAAGTTTTTATGATGTTTATATAGATAAATAGTACAATGCTGGTCAAAATCGCGCTTCAGCCTAGAAAAAGAGCAAGCCGAGGGACTAGGAAATCTTTTCACTAAAGGCACTTCCGCGGTAGGAACCAATTACTCCCATGAGTGAGGTTGCTGGGTCTTCAACCGCAGAAATAGGGTCACTATCGGTTACAAGGCTTCTGTCAACCAAAGGGTGAGAGCGTAGCTGGAAAAGCACACACTTTGTGTCTTATTGGGACTAAGCCTTTTGAAGAAGATAAAGAAAGAGGAGATGCTGTGATAGTGTGCACTTGTGAGAGCTCCCAGACATCACTACAAAACGCTGAACCGCCAAGCCTCACGGTTGACAGAAGTCCTGAGACCGTCACTATCGCCACTGAAAATTCGACTACACTAGAGACAGTGTAGGCCCCATGGATTAAAGGCAAACTCCGGGATTAAACTGGTGCTATCAGCGCTTTGTAGTGATAGCTTAGCTGCGGAACGACCTGAAAGTGGAAAGGAAAGCAAGAGAAATCTTTGGGAACGCTGAAATTAAGGCCTTAACCTTCAATAGGGTCGGATGTGGTACGATGGCGAGAAAGGGCGGTCAAAGAAGACAAAATACGCGAGAGAGCACGTCGTTTGAGAGAGCACGCTGATCTCTACATCAATGCACGCTGATCTCACCACCTCTCGCGGTGGGTGGGAAGCGTTGGAAGGGGTCGATGGTTGCAGGCCCGTAAGGATTAGCGCCCTAACCGCGCAATTTTTGCGACGAAGCTGGAGTGATCTAGGTAGGTACGGACCTTACAATTTCCCTCGTGGTATCCCTCCTACTAGTCGGGCTAATCCGGGGTTTGCCTTTAAACGCCTACTGTTGCGCTATCTGCGTAACCATTCGCGCTACACTCTCTCACGACTCTGTCGTTATCTCGTCTGTGTCACGCATACACAACAAACAACAGTGAAACAACATGTAGTGGTTTCACTGTTATTTACCACAAGTTCGACTTACCAGAAGGCGTGAACTCCTCCTCCGATTTCGGTACGGGAATGCTCGTAAGTGATCTAGAAATATGAGTATTCAGAGAATTTCGAAGCAGTGAACAAGTAAGCATGGAATCCTACCGTACGGACGAGTTTGATGAAGTAACACTTGAATGTGGCAGCACGTCGCCGCTCGAATTCACAGGAACTGGCATAACAGTTGACTGCATGCTCGACTGTGGCGCACGCACTGAGAATTCATCACTGGATGACGCAGCCGCTTCGTTATGGGAGTATGGTAGCGACACATTCAGTGTAGAAGATGAATTGGCTAACACTGTAGGCGCTTGCTTCTGAGCGGCTGGCACATGGGTTAGGAACGAGTCTTTGAAGCTTTGTGACCCAATGACTGGTCGAGTTGAGCACAGGTCGTTCATCTGAACAAGAGTTTCATTTAGGCCAATCGACACAATTTGAACGAAGTCCTAGAGAAAACGATACTGGCACTGGTGTACTAGCGAGGTACTGCAGGGCATCGAAGCGCGGATACTTCACCCTAACAACAGTAACCCAATTTTTTGCAAAGAGAAGGTGTGAACCATTTCACTAGTGCAAGAAAGAGACTATGTATGTATTTAAACGGAAATATTCACCGTAGTTCTGAAAGCTGATTGCGCCGCGTGGCTCCACTCGTCACGAAGAATCGGAACTGATACCTTGGAAAGTGTTTGTGTCTCGATCGCCTCCGTGCTCTCTTCTGCACTTG